ACAAATCAGTGAAAACAAAAATAGATATTTTCAAAAGCCTTAATTTGAAAAGAAGTTGAAATACTTCCGCTGTTCGTCACCTGCCTTCGAAAGTGTTAGGAGTTTAAATTTTTTATTAAAATCCTCTCCTGCAATAACGTTTCTTTTTACAAAAAGAAAAAAGCGATAACCCAAGAATTTCGAGGGAAAAATATTTTTGAAGAAGGTTTATTTAAAACTTTTTTTATTATTCGGTTTTCGTGATTCTAAAATTATGCTTGGCTCAATTTCAGACTCGTTTTGGGGAACAATTATCAGACGACCAGAAAGAGCGCCCTAATTCCCGAGGCATATTGCTGCATGCATAAAAATTCCAAATATTAGGTATTTAGGCAAATGCAAATTCTTGCCACCAAGTGAAATCTGATTCTGCGAACTGCCGAGGTTACTTTCAAATAAGAAACCACAGAGGTTATCGTCTGAGCACATTAGCTCGTGTAAACTTTGGAAGTCAAATATCAATAACTCTACAAATTCTTTGGAGTCAATTAATATTTAAACACACGAGAAAGTTCAAAAGAAACTTTTGCGGAGCTTTACTAACGACATGGTCCAAAAACGGTAGACATTTTTTGATGTGCTAAAACAGGTATTGAGTGTTCGTCATATGCCTTTTTTAACTGGATAACGCGATGTTAACCGAGTGTATTTATAAGGGATGTAGATCTTTTGTTTGAACAGGGGCAAATTTTGGTACACAACCTCCCACGCGGTTTTTAGTTCAAGTTTGCTAAATACCACATACTGTTGCATTGTCTTTATCATGAATAAGGTATCTACGTGCTTTCGATTGGTGAAGCAATTCCAAACAATTCAAAATTAACTTGGCAACGGATCATTAGAATGAAACACGAGAAACATGCAGATGGCAACCTTTTCGTTGACGGTAATTGTGCCCGAGGCCTCAGAATAAAGCTATCATGCAAAACTAATAATATGCGGCGGAAAATGCTCACTGATTTAGAGGCTGAAGAAGGCTCACCGCCTTTCATGAGGATTCACTCCTTTCCAAATATGACAGAAGAACGAACTAAAGCTACGAAAGTCAACTCTGGTGGCAGTGGAAGCCATGTTTCGAGCCCAGTTGACATGGCTCACGACAAAAGTCAGCACCTCTCAAACTCGTGGAGCGAAGGAAGCTGGGCTTTTCGCTTAGAAGATATTGCCGAGGAGTTCCCATCTTTGGAAGTACGCCACGAGGCCATGAAACGAGTTTTCCAATCGCTCGATCAAGAAAAAGACGGACGAACCAGTCGCTTGGAAACGTCGAGGATGCCTGATACCGACAGAACCGAAGTAGGTGGTTTTAGCAAAGATCATAGTGGGGACTTTTATACCAAACTTCAAGAGGCAGTCGAGAAGAGAGTGTCCGCTAATTTTGACAGGTTGTCGCATCCTAACATGGCAACGGTTGACATCCTTGACATGCCGCAGGACAACAAGTCGAAGACAGCTCCGTCTGGTGAAGATAGCACAGATGGAAAGGCTTACTACTTCCCTGAACTTCGTAGTTTAATCGAAGACAGATTAGAGGAAACCAAAGTGGAAACACTATCGAATCGCTTGGAGCGAGAATTGGCACGTAGGCAGCAACTCTGTAATGAGCAGGCCTTGATGTTACAGCTGCTGATGAACCGCATTCAAGAGCTGGAGAAGCGTCCTCTGAAGCGAAGTCCGTCTGCATCCGTGAATGGATGGCCACGACGGCCCCGCTCAAATTCAGGTCTGTACTGCTACACCAGCAACTACATCGTTGAGAAGGCGACACAGACACCGAGTGATCTTCACGACGCAGAAGGGGTGTATGTTATGGTTGCACGAAGTTCAGGAGCCAAAGCCAAGAAGGTGCAGAAGAAGTTTGCATACGGGTATCCTGAAAGGGTCACCGAAGAGAAACAGGTCTCGGCGATCTTGAACAGAAAAATTGTGACGCAACAAATCGAGTTCTTGCCGCCAATTCCTGATCCATTTGCTAAGCGAAGACCTCGAGAAGTGAAGAAAGCTGGATGGCACACAATTTAACAATGAGTGCAAACTACGCACAAAATTCCTTGGATCTCTGTAGAATTTTAAGATTATTGTTTTGAAGAAATCAATATCATAATGGTACATGTTACATTTCTGCGAGTTTACCTATAATAGAACTCATACTGTGTTACACAAGGCCCCAAAATTTACCTTGCTTTTTTAACTGGGGCCAAATAGTTTTTTCGCGTTACCTATTATACATATTTCAGTTTATGTCAAAGGGGACGAAGAAGATATTGGAAAAATTGGCTATAAGCTTACAAAGATTAACTCTCACTCAATAGTACAAGATACTGCCCAAGAGTAACATCGCACTAAGTACACTTTCTTGAATCACAGAGGAAAGGGACGTATGTTGATGACAGCTTTCAGTAAAGGTTGTGAATAAAGGAAATACGTCCATAATTGGAATATTCCTCCGCGCAATCCCTACAGAATTTTGTTCAGAGACTTATTTATAACTTGTATTTTCCGAAAGTAGCAATAGTTTTGGGTGAGTCCTCCAATATTAAATCAGTCAAAGTTCATTTAGGAGCTGGAGTTCAGATTTAAGCTGTAACCATTGGCCAGAAACTTTCTGGTGGGGTTAAACTTCCACAATTTAAGGCAATTTTCTTGCTTGAGTTATTTTCCACCCGACGTTTGGAAAGAGTTGATTTGTCTTCCTTTATACGCTGCGCTTAGCATAGAAATAAAGCTTCCTGTGGAGTTGCTTGTTTGAAACAATTCCAGTTGATTAAAAGCAGGCGATTTTGTTTCCAATATGTTATGCTTTTCAAATATCTTCCTGAGCTTTTAAGACAGTGATCCCCGCCAACTTAAGAAAATATGACCCTCAAGGATACGAGTTGACACATCACCAGAGGGTTTTGTCAAGGAAGATGCTGTTATTTTAAAGATTTTGAGGAATTTCCAATAACGTAAAATTCGGCGACAAAAATCGTAGCGTTAATTTTAACGGACTGTCCAGGAGAGTACGGTGTGCTAAACCGTCGAATCACAGAAGTGAGAGATGGGATACAAAGGAGTCATGGTCTCAAACTAATCTCTGGGGACGATACACCTAACGTTGCCATTACATACAAGAGAAATCAGAAACAGGCTCTAGGAAGAGGTCGTAGCAAATTTGTAAAAAAATTTGACTAAGGCTACGAAATAATAATAATAATAATAACAATAATAATAATAATAATAGTAATAATAATAATAATAATGATAATAATAATAATAATAATAATAATAATAATAATAAAGCAAAAAACACATAAAAACAGGTAAAGAAAAATGGAGGCGGACATCGCTTTTTGGAAGAAAACGTGATAAAAAATGCAAAACGTTGTTGAGTGATTTGTAAGTTTATTGGAAGAAGGAAAGTGAATGCACGTTCTTACAGAGCAGTCTAGCTAACTGATTAAATGCTCCAACAACTTTCTCTGCTAAATAGTATACATACAAAACCAGCGTTACTTTGAATAATTGTCTTTTCTTGTTATCCATTCAGCCTCCGGTTACGACACTAATATTAGAAGGTTATAAGGTAACCCAAAAGACGTTTTCAGCCGTAAACCATGTACAATAAAAAAAGACAAACACTAGCTAATAACAAAAGACAATTGGGGTAGCGATCGTGAATGTGTTTTCAAAACGAAATTTCACCAACGCTTTTTTAAAACCTTGAGTTCTTTGATACATAATAAAATAATGATAGCGTTCCTAAACTTGAACTTATGCAATTATTATACGGAAACTAAAACGCCAAATATAGCCAACGATTACTACACTGACCGATACGTTGCGTATTCATCGAGTAAGTGTGCGTGCACCTTGAAGGCTACTTAATCATTTTCAGTCAAGCCGGGTAACACATTTCCTAGTTACTCACGCGACTCCTTAGTTGTATAGGAAAATTCATTACTTGACGAGGGAATTCTGCATTAAATTGCACGCGAAAACCAATATCGCACGAATATCGGTTTTCAAGTGCAATTTAATGCAGAATTCACGAGTGAAGTAATGGATTTTCCTTGAATCGCATAACTGAATAAAAATGAGAAAAAGAAAAAGAAAAAACATTACAGTAACTTAAAATTGTTATGTTTACGTAGATGCGAAACAATATCACTTATCCTCGTTTTCAACTCACAATTCCACGCTAAATACCTCGCTTCGTTAGCCAATCAGAATGCGAGATTTTATTCAATGATGCGATTCTGCCTGAAATATCTAGTAAAGCCTACGATTCTTTTTACCACGCTCGGTCTATATGCAGATACTTAGGCTGAAAAAATAAGTTGTACTAAAAATGAGCTCTCATGAAATTTGTTTCTTCTTAAAAGGAAATTCCACTCATGCTCTTCATTAAAGTTTACCTATGCTTTGAGTCTATTTTGATGCTATTTGTCTAATTATCACGACGGGTAATACAGTGTTTAATTATTGGTAAAATATTGATAGTGTTCATTAAAATGGTTCTTCTCAAACAAAACTGAACTCACGCAATTCTTATACGGTGACTGAAACGCCGAACATTGCCTACGACTACTCATTACCATCCTATTTTATGATTCGTTCCGTGCTTTGAGAGTAACATTGCCGTTTAAATACATTTTCCTTCTTAGAACGAAATTTCATTCCCACCATCTTACCACGCACAGTCTAGATAAAGGACAGTTTTGCTGAAAGTTTAGTTGTACTAAAAGTGAGCGCTCATAAAATTTGTTCCTTTTTAAAACGAAATTTCACATACGCTTTTCATAAAAGTTATCTTATACTTTGCGTCTATTTTGAGGCTCTTTGTTATTTATCATGCCGAGCAATAGAATGTTTAAAAACTAGTAATGTAATGATAGCTTTTAAAAAATGGTTCTCCTCCAACAAAATTGAACTCGCGCAATTCTTATGCAGTAACTGAAACACCGAATAAAGCCTAAGAATACTTATTACCATGCTGTTTTATACTTTCCGTGGTTAGAGAGTAACCTTGCCGATAAAATACATTTTAGCGAATACAAAAGCGCGCACAAAATTTGTTCCTTCTTAAAACGAAATTTCACACACACCTTTCATTAAAGTTTTACCTATACTTTGTGTCTATTTTGAGGCTATTTGTCTATTTTTTATGCCGGGTAATACACCATCTTATTGCTGGTAAAATATTGATAGTGTTCATAGTTTAATTTTAATTTAATTTTAACATAATTTATATAGCGCTAACAGTAAATCCTATTCCAAATTATCAAAAAGTTAAACATTGTATGCTTTTTCAAAAAGATCGGTCTTTAAGTGTTTCTTGAATAAATTAATTGTATCTAAACTTCAAAGATCTAATGGCAGCTCGTTCCAGAGTTTAGGTGCAGCAACGGAAAAGGCCCTGTCTCCGTATGTTTTAAGTCTTGACTTCAGAACAGCCAGAAATTTTTGAGTACGTAGCGTACGTGAACATGTACGATAACTAAGTAATTCCGTGATATATAATGGTGCCTTACCATTTAGGGCCTTATAAACTAACAATAAAACTTTCAAAAGAATCCGAAAGTGACAGGTAACCAATGCAGTTGAAGCAATACAGGGGTGATATGATCAAATTTCTTGGTTAAAGTGACGATACGAGCAGCCGTGTTTTGAACAGACTGCAAACTACTTATCATATGCTTAGGGAGGCCATACAATAAAGAGTTGCAATTGTCTAGTTTTGAACTGACAAATGCATGAACAAGAATTTCCGTAGTTTCCTCAGTGAGATTCTTCCTAATTTTAGAAATGTTCCTTATGTGGTAGTAAGACGTTTTGCAGATCTTATTTACATGTTCCACCATATTAAAGCATTCGTCAAATATGACACCGAGATTCCTAGCTGAAGATTTGGGGAGTATTTGTTCATCACCAACTGACACATATGAAATGGAAGGCTTTGGGCGGAATTTTGAACTAATTACAATTAGTTCAGTTTTCTCCTGATTGAGCTTTTGCATGTTGTTTGTCATCCAACAGTCGATATCTTTGACACATAGCTCAACTGATGACTTAACTTGAGCGAGGTCAGCAAAGCAGTCAGTTTTAAAAGAAATGTAAAGTTGAGAATCATCAGCATACAAATGGTACTGTAGACTATGAAAATTGATAATATCAGCAATCGGAGATGTATATAATAAATACAGCAAGGGACCTAACACAGATCCTTGAGGCACCCCATGTGCTAAACAGCGTTGTGATGACTGACAATCTTGAATTTGCACAAACTGTTTGCGAGATTTAAGATACGAATCAAACCAAGCAAGGGCATTAGCCTTTATACCAGCAGCAATTCTCTCTAGTAATCTAGAGAACTTTTCAAAGAAAAGCAAACAGGAGTTGTTGTCGGGTGGACGATAAATAACCAGGATCCTAATACACTGAAGGCTTCTGAGACGGACATCCATGAATTCAAATGACTGAAAGGTGTCACACATTGAGGAGTTGATATTAAGATTATCTTTAAATAACACACCAACTCGTCCTCCCTGGAATGAGATCTTGGAACATGTAGGAACCTATAGCCGGTAGGACACAAAGTTCCCACTTCAACATCATTGGTATTTCCAGGTCGCAGCTATGTCTCTGCCAAAGCCATAATATCAATATCATTGTCCACAACATAGTCTTTCACTATCATCGCCTTATTCTTAACAGATCTTACATTCAGCAGGCAAAGCTGAACACAGCAGGAAATATAACTGCGAGATACAAAATCAGTTTGTAGTTGAACATTTCTCAAGTTGTCCAAGCCATACAAACGCGGTAAAACACGAGTGGCATTAGCAGGATAACAGTTTGTCGGACGTCGATTACCAATTACAACTGGAATAGCAGTGGGACCAGGATTAGTACTTACATCTCCGCTTTTAACTAGTCAAATCAACTGAAAAATAGCAGTTGAGTTATGATGATAATTCATTCTAGAGCGAAAGTAACCTTTTCCATGAAGTCGAAATCCAAGATGGCGGCTCGATCTCCACGTGGAATCCAGTCGTTTCAGGCTAGTTATTTCCCCCACAGAAGTTCCTGGACTGTCAAAGCCTAGCGGTGCACGGCAAACACTATATAATATGTTAATAGATATAATTTCTTCTGGTTGAAAACCAAATAAAAGTAAAGAGATCATTAAAACTACGGAGGCGAAAGGGACACGTCTAACCGCTGACCTTGAACTTGTGCAATTCTTAATCGAATAACTGTAACGCCGAATAAAGCCAATGACTACTTATTACCACGCTGTTTTATACGTTCCGGGGTTAGAGAGTAACATTGTCGATAAAATACATTTTAGCGAATACAAATGCGCCCAGAAAATTCGTTCCTTATTAAAAACGAAATTTCACTCACGCTATCTTAAACGGGTACTTTATATTGCGTTTACTCGAGACTACCTAGTCCTACGCTGTGTAATACGCTTCTTATTGATTTACCTGCCAGATGGAAATAACTTTTATTTTTTTTCTCCTGAGAACGAAATTTCAGTCATGCGCCCCTCTAGGAGGTCACTGATACATCAACCTGAGCTTATGATCACTACTTGTTACTAAGGTAGTGGCGTTTCGCTTTACTGACACCTTTTTAGTTTCTACAATACATCTCACAGTAAACGAAAACGCTCACGAAATTTGTTCCTTCTGAAAACGAAATTTCACTCACTTTTCCTACATGGTTACCTATACAGTTACATTTACGTTTATTCATAGAAACTATTTATTTATTGATATCCCAACGCTGGAGGAAGTTTGGGGACAAAATTCTGCTTAGTATGGGAGGCAGGGAGAAGAGCATTTTCGCGCGAGCCAATCGCGCGGTTCGGGCGGTTTAGGTGTGAATGTGTTAACATAATATATTTATACGATTAATTACTTCTGGTTACATTTGCGTCATTCCATTTAATAATATCTGCTTCCCCTATACAATTAGTCTTTGATTAAAATTAGCCAACACAAGTCAATCAACTATAAATAACCCCGCAGATACATGCGGTTATTGACTGCCTATTTTTATAATTTTTGAAGACATCTCTCGGCTTATGTGGGCTCTTTTTCCTCATTGCCTCTAAAATGCAGCGTCCTTATTGAATACTATAATCACTTATGGAAATCGGCTTTGCCTTACATACTAATTTTATACTAATATAATACTAATATCTTATATACTAGGCTTGTTGCGCGTTTCAGTAGAAACAGGAGAATATCAAATTCTCCTTGTAGAACTAGACTGCCAAATTGGAAGGTATGCTTTACCATCACTAAGGCAGGTTATTCTCGTTTTTATAACCTTTCAACGTATCCGCCTTGGTCATATTGCTTGTCTAAATTACAGCATGTCAGTCCCAAAATAGCTTTACTGATGAACTTCAATAATACCTCTGTCGAATAAACTTTATGTTTTCGAAATTCTGTCGATGGCAATTTCATTTCTCTCGGTCATTGGTGATTTTGCTTCGCAGTCTTAATTGACAAAACTATTCGTAGACTGCAGAATCTGGAGAATCATCTTGTCCAGTGCTCAATGTCTGCATAAAATAAACAGCAGATGATAGGTAAGGAAGTGCACGTAACTTTGAAGACTTTGTTTTAAACGTTAATTTTAAACGTTAATACATAATTGAGAAGAATATGCTACCTTTCTATAACATCAAGAAATGGTATAGATATTCTAGTCTTCTCGGATAGGGAGGAATAAATGGAGGTCCCGTCTCCTGCTGGGTTAGGGGTAGGAGACGTTAATTTCCCACGCAAGAGGTGGAGGGTTCGAGCCCAGGCCGGACCAACACTCAAGGTCTTAAAATAATTGAGAAGAATATGCTGCCTTTCTATAACATCAAGAAATGGTATAGATATTCTAGTTCTCTTGGATAGGTAGGAATAACTGGAGGTCCCGTCTCCTGCAGGGTTAGGGATAGGAGACGTTAATTTCCCATGCACGAGATTACTGTGTGATGGATGTCCTCCCCTGGGGTGGGATGGGTGGGTTGTTGTCTTGCGCTTCATAAATGAGCCTCTGGCTCGGGAAATATGGGTAACCATGCTCCACGTTAAGACATTAAACTTTGATTACTATTACTATTATTACTATTACTATTACGTTCCATCACATGGCATTTGGTTGGATGATCTACCCCGAGAACAGACCCAGACTTACTTCTTTTTTCACCCTTATTTTTATTTTCTTTTCTCCTCAAAAGGCCTTATTTCACACTCAGTCAAGTCAGGGAGCATGAGGCACAAGTTATAAAAGAAACCTGATACTCCAAACCCCACAGTCGACGCTGCAAATATTAAGGACAAGTCAGACAAACATTGCTATGCGTGAACGTACCAAGAATGGGGTCCCCGCATTACTTGCTTCGGCTCAAGAGGCTTCTCACCTGCTACACTGCTGCACAATTGTCGGTCAAAATCGTTCTCGGTTACCCAAAACAGTGGAGATTATTTTGATCAGAAGTGACGATAAAAAAGAGAGTGGACTACACTAAGGGTTTTTTTGTTGTTGTTGTTCCTTTTTTCTCTGCAAATCGATATGTACATATTTGCCTGTTTTGGCTCTTTGCTAGTGTCGCTTAAATATCCTTTCTTCTTCAGATTACAGATTGTATTGACATATAATCGTATTAACATATAATCGTACACACATACTTGCAAACTTAAAAATCTGAATGGCTGATGGAAAGCAGGTCAAGTTTTAAAAAACGTAATACAATCTTACAGGAAAAAACAAGGGAGGCTAAAAAGAGGCTAAGGATGGTCACTGCTGTAATTTAACCAGAATCAAACGAACCACAAGACCTTCACTCACACAGTGATTTTATGGTTCAAGAATCTTGAGATTTTTATACAACTCTAGGGTTAAAGAAACAGTGAAATTTTTTAATAGATGAATCTGACCCTACTGTCTCAAATATTGCTCCTAAGTTCTTTCATCGTCACTTCTATTACTAAGTAATTTGCGCTGAAATAAAAATGGTTGGTTTCAAAATTCTTACTGGGAATTGTTTTGGAGTTGACCGAACAACGGATGGCGGCAGATTGGGCATGTGCGTCTGCGGAGAAAGAAAACAAAGATTCGAATGTTTTTTTGTTTTGTTTTTTCTTTAATAACTCTTGCTTAGTCATCCCAGTAGGTCGTTTTGAGGAAAGGAGGACAGTGCAGAGCACAAGGAATTAATACAGCAACAATGTCTAGTTCTTCCCAAACATGACGTTTTTGATAGAGTGGCGTTTTAAGAGTGGCGTTTTAAACCCAGAACCAAAACGATTCCCGGACGCGAACGAGGATAAATAAATTAATAAATAAATAAATAAATACGTAAATTGAAGCTGCCCCTCAGGGGCTTCTCAGCCACAATGTAAACTAACAAGTTAAAGAGAGGGAATGCGAGTGACTGTAGTTTTCTACCCCAATCACAACGCCAAATGAACAAACCCCATGTCTTGCTGAATTATGTTTGCGATTCTCAATTAAAAGCATATAATTTGACTCGGGTGGAAGTTTTTCAAATATAATAAGTGAATAACTTAGAAAATAGATTAAAAAATTTATAAGAGAGAAAAAGTTAGAAAACCATGGAAATTATAGGCTGTTAGTTAGCTTCGTGAAAGTGGAATAAGTAAACTTCGGGCTGTAAACCTCTCTGTTCTCCTGTAATTTTCACCATCAATAACCTTGCTAATTTTGATAACCTGGGGGTGAGACCTGCCACTCGAGAAAACCAAGGTTCTAATTTGCGAGGGTATGCAAAGTTTTAAGAATAATACTTACACGCCATTTTGAATCATTGCAATAGCACAATCTTTGTGAACCTTGTGTGAGCATGGGAGAATTTGACAACCACTGAAGGCGTCCTAGAACAATTTAAAGTAGAAAGGGTTAGGCTACTTTGAGGAAAGGCTTATCGCTACTTAAGAATTTTTCTACATTCCAGATTCACATAAGTCTATCCTCACCAGCCTGAGTTTCAAGATTAGTCTTGGATCGGCCTATACATTATGTAGTAGTACAAATAGTACAATTTTCCCGAAGGATTGTGTTTGCGGAAAAATACATGTTATTATTGTGGTGGGTTTAGGCCGGAGGTCACAGACTTCATAGAATTACTTTAACTTATCACTACTCTTCATCATGTTTAAAAATATTCATTTTGTAAGGATATTTTGCTTCCCATGTTAGGTCCATGGACGGTTCCTTAATTGCCCAGGATCATGTCGTATTTCAAAAGTAATTAGAAAATAAAACTTCGTAACTGACGTAATGATTTTCTTTTTTCACATAAGTATATGGAGCCTGCAGATAGAAGACAGCTCTCTCATATTTGTTGAAATGAAAATTTTAAAACAAAAGCCCATACATCTAGATACGACTTGAACGGTAATTTTTTTGCCATACACCTTGAACTTCTTAACTTAAATTTTGTGCATTCTAAAGAACAAATGCTACGACGAAAATGCACTATTCATGATTACTGATTCTTGAAGCGATACCCAATTTTGCGGGTGCAGATACTTCACCTCTAGACAAATACAGCATTCTTCGTGTCCCGAATCAGGTCTGCACTTATGCTTTCCCTCGAGGCGTTTGTCCAGGCATACGTTACAAACATCACAGTGGAAGGATCTGTCTCTATGGATTCTAGCAACAAAATTTAAAACGACTTATTATTAAGTTACCACAAGGAAAACTGAAGGAAATTAATGGGCTGAGTCTGATTCTCTTGGGGGATAAAAATTAATTTCTTCGGATGAAGGGGTGACCTTTCATGATCAGATGTCTGACTTGTTGCAAGTTCGCTCGTTATGCAAACGGTGGCTCACTATCATACCTGCAAATACCGCACTTCTCGCAGTGAAAAGGATTCTTGTCAACTGAAGTAAAGTGCTTACAAGTCACGCAGAAATATTCAGACATAGTCGCCTTACAACTACCACACTTCTGGCTTGTTTCATCAATCTGAAATTTATTAAATAAATACATTACGACAATGAAAAGAGAGTGAAACTACCGCTGGTAAAACTGAGTTCCAAAGTGAATGCTCACCTCTTGTTCGTGAGAGCAGATCGCGCATCTTATGTGTGTGGCATTGATTGCCCTCGCTTGGTCTTCACTGCAGTCTGACTCATTATGACAACGATGGCATGGGTAGAACTTACCGCAACAAGGAAAACTGACCAAGCATCGGCGCTGATAATGACTGCAAACAGCGCGCGGACTCTCCTGGACAGGCGTAGCTATCGGTTTCGGCTCAGCTAGTAGAGTTGGATTAGTTGCTTGGATAGATTCTCTTCGGCGACGTGGCTCGTCAACGCCTGCAGCAATCACGGGCTCCCGTTCTGTACTTCTTGTTGTTTCTTCCTGAATCCCTATCTTTTCGACTGATTGGAGCTCACGATCAGGTCGGTGTACATTTGCATTGGTCGAGGCAACAAGACGTATGGTTTTAGTTAGTGTCTGTTGAAAGGATCCTAGAAGAGTCGATAACTTCTCCGTGTGCGGCAAATCCTTGCTCACTGTTTCTGGATACACAGGTATACAATCACTAGTTTCCATTTCTCGGCTGTATTCATTAGCTATTGTTTCCATATCATCGCGAGCGTCACGTGACCCACAGCCAGTGAACATTGCTAGAATGCTACAATCAGTGGAATCTTCAAACTGCTTTGTTTGTGTCAGGTTTTCCAATCCTTCCTCTTTGTGACTTTTCAGCAACGAACAATTTCCATTTGTTACAGCACGTAAAAATTTCCCGCCCTTCCTTTCGTCTGGCACGTTTTCCTCGTGACTAACAAGTGATCTTGAAATATTCTGAACACCACCTCTGTCCTCAAAGGTATCCTTTGCCGGGAAAGGTCTCAAATCTGCAGCGTCATAGTTACAATGGAGAAACCTTTTGTCTGATGGGAGGTATTCCCTGTTAAGCCACTTTCCACAAACGCTCGATGAAGTGCAAAGGCCGTCATAAACGTGATTGCCAGGAACTTTCAGTGCATCTTTATTTTCGTAGCCAGGCAGCAAAAAGGAGAGACGGTCTTTGTCATCGGCATGACGAGCTATAAAACCAGCGTCTAGTCCAGTTCGACTTGTTTTGTTTTTCCGATAACATAATGATGAATCATTTGCCCCGAATCTGACAAAACGGTCCTTTCTAGTACCCTTTGGCAGAATCTTTGGCCTTGCTCCTCCGAAGCTTTTGGTTGTGGTGCTTGAGTTTATATCTGTCTCACTGTGGTCCGCTGGGCCTTGATGCTTGTCTGTAGTAAGTGATCCAGATTCGCTTCCCCTCATTGTCCTGATTCCAATTTGACTGCTCCTGTTTTCAAAATTCACGCGACCTTGAGTTGCCTTTCTATCTTCGTCAAAATCTTTTGAAGAACACATGGTGGAGATGCACTTTTCATCTTCCTTACGGTCAACTTTTTTGTCGAAATCTATTTTACTTTCGACATGATTTTCATGATTCTCTCCTTTTTCGGTTGCGGAGATTCGCAAGTTTGAGGTATCTGCCGCACGCTCAGTAGTTGACTCAACCCCTATCACATCTGGAGAGAAAGTTTTCTCTTTAGCTGGCGCAATCTTAGAAATTTCTTCGTGGTCTTTTCCTCTGGCCTTTGCCCCATTCCCCCACTTTGAGTCAGTTTTCTTCGTGACGGGTATACACCTTACGATGCGATCATTATTTTCGGTTGTATCAGTGCCTTGAGAATCATTAGTTGGATTCCTTAAGGATTCAAAATCTTCATGTTTCCTTTTAGATGTACAGTTCTTATCTTTCATACTACAATTAATATGAATTTCTCTATCTGTCTGGTCTTGTAAGTTGATGAAGAGAGCGCTGTTTGATTTTTCATCTTGTTCAATGATGAATCTCCCTGACCCACTGACAGGAACCAATGTGCTTGCGTTTAATTCACATGAACAAGTGGTCACTTTCTTGTCAGCTAAACTAGATGTTTCGCTCGTAATTTCAGATGTAGGAGAGGAGTGTTGGTTCTCGTTACGACTTGAACCCTGCTGGCTGTATGTTGAACTTTGCAGTGGATTGTTCATTTGCCTAGTTTCTGTTGTTATTTGATCCTTCGTGACGTAGTCATCTTTTCCTTTCAAGATCAATGGAAAACGTTTTTGCTCTATAACGAGGCTCGATTCGCTGACTTCAGTTTTCTTCAAATGATGATGGAGCTCTGCCAGACGAATTCGTCGAGAATGCCTTGCCTTTTGAAAAATTACTCTTCCAAGGATATTTTCGTCGCATTCGGCTTCGCTCGTTAGTGCTTCCTCTTGTTCCCATTGTCCTGGCGACTCCGGATCACTCAGAGTCAAACTTTGGCTTCGAATGTCTCTCTTTGGGGGAAAAGTTGCTGATTGAAAATCTCTTTCAAAGAGTCCATCGTGCAACTGACTGCATTTCAAATCGGACGAACAGTCTTCTGGATCATTTGCATCCACCACCATGGCATAATGGTCACCTTCAAATTCATCTCTTCTAAGCCGACAAAACTGTTTTAACTGTTTTGATATCTCGGTCACTCCTGATAGACACTCTGGAATGTAATCATCTGCTTTAACACTCGATCCCTGTTAGTAAAAATAGGGGGATTCAAGTATGATACAATACAAATCAGCTCGGGAAAGTCATAGATAAGAGTACCGTAAAAAAGAAAACAAATTTGGCAAAGAGAAGCACGAATTCAAAGGAGCAAGTCACTTTCCACATTGACTGTGATGATTTATGTAAAACTTTTATTTACCCTCTCAGCTCTTTTAGACTCACTTGTTGTGTTTCAAAAAAATAATTCACTCAGTTGGTAAGTCATGAAGTATCTAAGTGACGGTTTCAAAAGTCTTTTTATGGTTTCAGATATTTATATAAACAGTCTCTTTATGCACTCACAGTATTATCCAAAGGGTCGTGGTAGTACAAAACGTTTGTCTGACATGGCACTTGATATTGTTTTGCCAAGAGATTCATATGCATGTCTGCCATGGAAAATTCATCAATTTCATTCGCAATGTCTTCTTCTTCCCTGTACATATGTCCAGGAGGTCCTCTAACACTTGATTCCTCTCGCGAAGTAGTTTTAACCAGCTGGAATACTTGCTGGATGCATCTTCCATGGTTCTGCAATACCAAGCAGGCCTTTACAGGCTCTCTGATCGTCAAACGGAGGCACTGACCCTGAACTGACAAAGAACAAATCTTCGACCGGTAATTTTCTAGAACACCGAGAACAGTTTGGCTGTACATGAACTTCGTAGTCTGCTCGTCTTGAAAGGTTGACCTTGTGATCTTCTGACAAGCGGTACTAGATATTTGACAAAGATTTCCCTCGTGATGTGTTTCAGTGAGTAACTCATCCGATAGACACAGAGACAAAAGAGAAATACGATTACATCTCATCATGGGGTTGGTTGTGTTAGCCTTTGAAGTTAAATCTACAATAACTCGAGTGGTACTGTCAGCACCAGATCCAAAACATTTCAGTCGAAAACACTCGTGGAGTGAAAGAGATATCTCCCTTTCTAGTTCCTGCAACTCGCCGATATCCCGAAAAGTGGATGACATCAAAGTGATAAGAAAACCATTGGTTGGCACATTTCTCCTAGAGGCTACGCTTCTGAATAGCTGCTTGTCAGTTTTTGATCGGTCGGCTTCGTTATCATTCAAACTAACAGCAGAGACCAGGAGGATGTCTTGTGAAGCTGTTTTTCCGTTGCAGGTCATTAAAATTCTGGATGCATAAACTTGAACCTGGTCGTTAAGGAAAAAAAACTTGCTTTCGTTGTCTTGAAAAAGTTTAGAATACAGATCATACGCTGCAAATGTGATTTCGATCGCATCCAGCTCAACGGACAACATAATAAGGAATGTCAGCACTAGCTTCAAGGTGAGATCACAATCCGTTGTTACTACCGGTGCATCTTCGGAGATATCATTTGCACTTCTCCTTTCAGTAACTTCAACGAGTTCCTCCAAATAATTGCTCAAATCATTGTAACTTCCAAACCCGTGTCTTTCCAAGCGTATTTTAAGGATTGTGTTGTACAGGCGTGCCATCCATCCATTAGGATAACCCTGAGTTAGCTGGTATGCCGCGGAATACTTAACTGCTTGTTGAAAAAAGGCGACAGCTTCCTTTCTCTTTCCTTGACGAAGCAAAGTCTGTCCGGTCAACAGGAAGTCTCTTGAGTGTTTCTCACCAATCATCAGTGAGAACTCTGAGGATTGAAATCTTCTAATCTTTCTCGTATGAGGCTGCTTTCCCTTGACCTTGCTCCTTGGTGGAACTCTGTCTACCTTCGGTAACGCAAATTTTGACAACAACATGGCAAAGACTTGCCCATGCTCAGCAACTAGGCCTTCAATTTTGTCGCCTTGTATCGCATCTCTGCGGGAGGTTTCCGTATTGCTGGTGATTTCCAGATACGTTGTGTATAGCTGGTCGACAAATGACACTTGATATATTGCCTCTATGTTTACCATGGCCATCTCACATTAAAGGAAAGACTCATCCCAGCATTCCAAGCGAAAAGCCAAATCGGCAACAGATAAGTAACACTTGAGCAGAAGAGGGTGGTCCTTGCCGAAGGATTTCCGTAAGATATCAATGGTAGATTTCATTTTCTCGAGAGAGCTGGTAATCTTTCCGATGAGACTTAAAATTTTACCTTGTCTGTAAATCAGCAAGGCAACATTGAAATGATCAGGACCAAAATTCTGCTTCAGAATGTTCACAGCTTTATCTAAGAGTTGTGAGGCAACTTCCATTTCCCCTTTTAGGACAATCACATCTAGCATCTTTTCAAACGCCGCAATTCGTACATTCATGTGAAGACCTCCGAGCATTGGAAGCAGATCAATAAAACCAGTGAACATGGATGTCTCCAAACAAAATTGATTTTCGGCGTCCTTTGATTTTCCCTGAAGGAGTAACACTTCTGAGAGATGCAGGGAAACAAAATTGACGAGAAGATCACACTCATCTCTATTCATTTTGAAGAGGTAAGAACTTAGCCACTTTAACTCTTCCTCTGCCATTTGAAAGTTTGCAAGCGTTGGGTAAAATATTGCTCGGTTGTTCAAAACTGTAAATACAACTTGGAGAGGTAGTTCTTGTATTTCTTTAGCTTTACATTCTTCGACTAACTCTCCTTGTTGCTCCAAGGCCTCACCAAAGTCTCTACATCTGAAATATACCTGACTGATGTTGCTCTTTACTGCAATGAGCTTGGCATCTAGTGATGAACTTGGCCTACAGCGCGTCTCTAACTCAAACTGTTCTAAAGATTTCTCAAAACTGTCTTTCGCTTTACTCAGTTCACCCATTATTATCGCTAAGCATCCGGTATTGTTGAAAGCAGCTCCCAGGTCCCGTGGGTGACTGGTCAAGTGTACCGTTGAAACTTTATGCCAGTCGAGTAGCTTAGAAAAAATTATTTGAGCCATTTGAAATTCAGAGATTACCTTTGCAAAAGCTCCTAGAACATTTAGCAAGCTGGCATAAAATTGGTTTCCAGAATTACTTGAATCCAATAGTATAGTGCAATGTTTAATGGAACAGCTTACGTCGTCTTCTAGAAAGATTGCTTTTCCACGATTTACCGCATGCAGGCCGTCTGGTTTCGGACTTTTGAATAATTTGTCATCGAGGTTCATAACGTCCTCAAAGATTTTCTGAAGGCGGTTTCGCGCTTCCGAAATTTGGTCATTTTGGTAAAAGTTTGTTGCTTCGTTAAGAAGCTGAAAAACCCCGTGCACTTTTTTCTCTTGTGCCGAGTGATATGGTTCGAAGTGTAACCTATTTAAGTCGTCCCGGAAAAAAGCTGTAACCGGACATACCGGAGTTTTTGCTGTCTTTTTTCGATAGCCTGACAAGAAAAGTAGAATGAATTAAGATTAGAATACAGAAAAATAAAATATGAATTCTCATTGGCAGGGTTATGAAATGCTGGAAAAGAAAATCATGCCCAACAAGACTTTTCTGGTGAAATCCTTGCGATTTATTCGTGTTAACTTTCAGAGAAAAATTCAGGTCAAAAGACTTATAATGGCTAATAAGACGTTAATTACTGTCCGCCAAGTTCCAATCACAAGGACTGCGTGAACAAAAAATTTTAAAATGCTCTCTAAAAACTTGATATTAATTCAAAACGCTAAAAGCAGAATCTGCTAAAGTAGCCTCGTCAGATTCTTCCTTTTTCTTAACGTTTTCAAAATGACTAAGAGCTGATTACCAATTGGGACAGATATTTTATGGCGTGTTGATAAGAATTCGTTCTAATTTTGGGCAAAATAGTAAAGTGTAGGGTCCTAGCTAAACACCCCTGTGTTTGGTTTTATATTGGGAGCTACGGGGAAAATAATTTCACATATCTCTCAACGCCCTGTAAGAGTTCATAGACCGCGGCAACAAAAAACGTTTGTCCAATGAAACCCGAAAGCAAAGTTGTCCAGGGCCATCTAGACACACCAATATCCACGCACAGTTCTTTATCACTCACTAGGATCCGTTCAGCTAAATATCCTTATAGAGGGAACATCCACTGGAATAATTCTTCCCCTTGCCTTAATCTTTCAGATTTTCCTTAGTTTCTAAGATTGCTTAGATCTCCATTCTCTTTTAAGATTTCCACACTCGGCAGGAATCTTATTTTCAACGTTAACTACTCCTCCCTACGTCGTGACCGACGCTCCAAAGCTTATTTTATAGCATCCCATTGAACGGCTAGTCCCTAATCTCAAGATATTTCTAAGAGCAAAAACGTTGAATTCGGGATTACCTCCTACTGATTGTACTCTTCTCTTGAGTGATTGGCACAATGACAGGAGTATAACTCTAGTCCGTTTTGCATTACACTGTCTGAATTCAACGGCGTTGTCCAGCAAAGAAATGTCAAATGGTTTTGCGAAGTCAGCCTCAGATTCTATCTCTTCCGAAGGTTCCCCTGTGTTTCTTGGTTTAGAATACATGGCACACAGTACAGCAACACTACCTACACAGCGAAACGAAAGCTATTGTTAGACAACGAGAACTTTAGGACTATTTAGAGGTACCCGTTTACCGTGAAAACAAGTGAATCTACCGAGCCATCATTCAAAAAACAAGTTCACCTGTGTGGCAAATAGTAACAAAAATTACGCACGGACGTAGTCGATCACTATTGCAATGATGACACTTTTCCGAAAGTAAGTAAGTAACAAAGGAATGCAGCACACAAATATAGCCAAAATTTGGACTCCCTCGAGGTGGAAATGATTTACCGATAATTCCCGATAACAAACGAAACGCTCCGCTGCTTCGTGTTCTTCAGACATGAACAAAACAGCCTCAAGATTGAGCAGTTCTTGACGAAAAAGACTAAAATTCGCTCTTCTTTTGTATACAAGTAGCCTTTAGGAAGTATACGATTGCTATGTAGTTTTTCCTTGAAAAAATTATTTGTTTCCGAAAAAACGAAAACGTTTCATTTTCAGTCCCGGGAGCGATTTGGCGACACCGAACAGGTTTAGTATAGGTCATGATTCACTCGACTCGCCTATCAAAACAACTGCGCTAGAAAAAAGCTATCATAGTTTCGAGTTGTTGTACAACTTTTCACAGTCTAAACACCGTGATTTCACAAAGATTAGATTAATCCCAGTATTCAAGAGAAGTCAAAAGCTTATGGCTCTCCCGTGTTGCGTTAAACGGTAGGCGAAAAACAACGATAATTTTGAGCATGTGCCTTTGTTCAGAATTTCGTAAGACATTAATAGAGTTGATGATCTCTCAAAATATGTAAAGTTCAGTTTGGGGAAATGAATTTGCGATTTTAAACAATTTTTCGAAAATCGTGAAGAAAGACATAAAACCACGCCATCCTAGAAACTCTTGTTCTTAGGCCATCGTAGCTTGATTAAGAAAATAAGACAAACAGCGCTGATAAACATTGTATTCCAATGTATTTTATATAGAACTTGACGTTTCATATGCTGGTCAACATACATTTTCAAAAGTGAACCGTTACAATTGTTGAAAACTATATATAGTGAATGTAAGAGGTCTGGAACCTAGACTGAGACAAAAAGAATCTACAGCACCTCTTACATTCACTATAGATAGTTTTCAACAATTATAACGGTTCACTTTTGAGAATTTATGTTGACTAGCATACGAAACGTCAAGTTCTANNCCCAGCAGGTTCTCAGCTTTTCATAAATGTGCATGTATATTTGAAATCAAATTTTAACCTAGCATTCATCGTTATTCCAGTTGATAGAGCCTTGAGCCCTACATATAATAACCGAAGCGAGAGCTTCGATGTGCGCCACTTTTATCATTCATCTATTACTACTGGATTGTCGTTGCGTATTGATGCTCAGAATAAAGTTTTCCTTGAAAATTTACCTTTTGTCGTCGATAAATCGTATATTCACTATGCAAACATGCAGCAGCAAGATTTAAAGTGATGCGCTGAAAGAAAATTCTCCTACCTACCATCGAAACGGATTATCGCTTGAACCTTAACATGACTACTGGCGCTGTTGATCCTTTGAGACAGCCATGCTACTATCTGCAAAAAAATTCTCCTCAAGGGGCGAGAATGGTAAGATTATTTTGTTCTCTTGCCTTTCACAGGTCACAAACACGCTTGAACAAGCCGCGTGCTCGAGGCTTAAAAGCAACAAACACATCACGTGACGGGAAACGCTTGACAGATGTAGCATAAAGCCTATGTTACATAATCTTGACACTGATTAATTTGCTTTGTACAGTTTTTTGGGATTAGATTGAAAGAAACACATGCCAAAAAAACAGGATTCGAACCAAACTTGGGACTTTCCCGGAGTTTAACAAAAGTCTTTTATCAATTCAATCAGAACAATTATTTTTTTTGTAATGCGAACAAACCTTTTGACCGACATTAATTGAAGTGAAAGTGAAAGTGAAAGTGAAATTAATCGAAGTTTCCCCACCAAAGTAAGGGAAACTTAGTTTATTTTGCAAAAAAATCGCGTGGTATCTGTACTCGTCTTGCGCGTTATTTGTACTCTACGAAGCGCAGTTGGATAATAAAATAACAAACACTACGGAAAAAAAAAAAAAAAGAAGAAAACACCTAGAAAACCACCCAGTTAAATTGTCTGCTGCGCGGTTTGCAAAGACAAAACACTTGATGTGTGCATACAATTTTAATATCGAAAAAAGAAAACCAATGCAATTTTAGAGCATTCAAAGAGAAAACAAACAAATAAAAGGGTTAAAATAAACTTCAAAGGAAGAGAATAGCTACGTATCGTAGAGGTAAACAAGGACTTCAGAGGTAGGTCACTCAACCATAACTCATCAGTGAAACTTGTGGGCATATGGTATTTCGTGGACTGGACTGGACTGGACTGGACTGGACTGGACTGGACTGGACTGGACTGGACTGAACTGGACTAGTAAAACGCGGACTAGTAAAACGCGGACTTAACAGCAACAACAACAACTACAACAACAACAAAAAACAATTTCATACGAAGGCA